TGGGTGGCCAGCCAGCCCTGGCCAGTGCCACAGGTCTCTGTGCCCTTTGCTCCCTGGCAAAGGGAGGGTGCCAGGTCATGGTCCCTTGCCTGCAGCTGCTCACCGAGCTGCTGCATGTATTCGTCACCATCTGCCCTTGGAGAGGGGTAGGCAGCTGYCCTGGGGGCTGGGCAGTCTGGCACWCACTGGGAGGACTCACTGGGCTCTGRTCTTGTGCAGCCCCTGAGGTCAGGAGGAGCCGGGATGGCTGAAGCTTGCAGTGAGTGCTCCCAAGCAGAACGGGATCCCTGGGGCGAAGAAACACACAGCACCTGAAAAAAGCAGTTCTCCTCAGCTCCCCCTGGCTGCTCCTGCCTGGTTTCACTGCCTGCTGCCCCAGCTCCTCCTGTCTGAGCTGGGTGTTAGCTCTGCTCTTGCCAGCTCCTGTCTCTGCCTCCTTTGCCTGTTWGCAGGCTGATGTTCACAGCTAACAAAGCCCTGCTCTTGATACGAGTGGGACCTCATGGACATCAGCGTGATCTGGCATAGGTCCATGGGTCAAAGCCTGCGGAGCACCCCTTTGGTCCTGTGGTGGCAAGTCACATTAATTTTCCCTTTGTAACACGCAGGGGCGTGCCTGGTCCGTTCAGCRCCACATGCGAGACAGGCAGAGCTGGCAGGCGGCGTCTCTGGCTCTAAGGCAGCTCAGCACTGCTTGCTGAATGGCCTGTAAGTACTTACACTCACATGTGACACGGGGCAAGGCTGTGGGCCAGCAGGGAGCAGAATCCTTCAAATCCTTCTGTGGGGTGCACTGGCCTCGGGAGTGCTGCAGGAATATCTCTGGGTCAGACACTTAATATGTCCTTTTCTGTTCCTGTTTTTTTTGGTTACTGGAGGGTTTAGTTCCTTGGTTGCACTTGGCCCATCTCTGATAAGTTTATGTTGGCCAGAACATTCCATTAGGACACTGAGTGCAGTCACAGCGTGTGAAACGAGACAAGGAACATGTACTGGTGTTGCCGTGGGTGAAAACATCGCCTCTCAAGTTGTTGCAGGATTTCTGAAGCAGCTCCTGCTTCCCCCATGCACAACCCAGACATGTCTTTACCTTTTCCCATCCCTCTCGTAGAAATAAAATGAAAATGGCATTTCTGCACATCCCTGAGATGGTAGGTGGGTACCTRGAGCAAGCAGAACATCATACCCTGCTGACAGAGGGGATCACTTCTTTTCTTGTTACCCCACCGTTTTGCAATGTATTTACAAGTCTCTGTCACATCTTATCTCTCTGATTGTGCACTCACTCTGGAAACCTTGAGATAAACCTGAAAACGCCCTGCTTTGTTATGTTGGCATTTGTTACTTGTGAGTGGCAGGTTATATAATGTGTATCCACTCTGTTACAGTGATTAGGTATCAAGTGGCTGTTTATTTTTGCTTTTTAGAAGCACCAGAGAGCTATAGGGGGTTCCCCCAGAAGACAGAATGTGTTTGTTCCCCTTTGATTGTTGCTGACTGGCAGCAGCTCTTYATGACTTGCTGTGTTTTGAACAGTGTCCTCCTTCTCCCAGTGCTCCTGGCTTTGTATCTGTTCTCTGAAATAATCCAATGGCCTGGTGCTGTGGAATGCAGGTGTGTTGCTCTGGCTTATGCATTTCAAATACATCTGCACACTTCAGTCTTAAAAAAGATGTATGGCTCTGTCAGTGTAGCAGTTTTGTCCTTTTCTACATTCACCCTCTCTGGTGAAAGCAACGTGAGGAGTTGCCTGTAACTTTGCTTGGCAGATGGAATGAAGATGTCCCTATTAAATGAACCTTGAGCAAGCAGCAGTGTGCGTTTGGTGAGCTGCCTGCTGTAATTGAAGTGTGTACATTAGAGGAACGGAAGCTTAATTGGTTGAGGGTTTATAGTGGGGCAACGTTAAAAAAAGCAGAGCAGGCAGCTGACAGTCTAAGCAGATTTAGACATAAAAATGGAACTGGGGATGAGTAAGCTTGCATTGAGAGGGATTCTCAAGACATAGAGTGGGGCAGTGCTAATGTGAAACTCTTTTGAGTTCTGCACCCTGAGTCATTAGGTGGCAGTGGGAGCACACCTCAGCCGGGGCTTTGCAGTGCTGCTGTGAGAGGGTGTGTCAAGAGAGACAGGAAAACCACATGTGAGCTTTGGAGAAGGTGGGCTTGSGTCAGCTGGGGTGCTGAAAACAGTTTTATTAGCTTTGTGAATCCCTTGCACCATGAGGGCTTTCTGTTGCTGAAGGCCTTCCATGCAAGCCTTAAAAAGGGAAGACAAATGGGTTTGGGAGATAACCAGCTGCCTCTTGGATGCAGGGTCTTTTTTTTTTGGAGAGCACAGGCTGGCAGAGATTGCTGCTGTTGCCAGCTGGAGTTGACTGTTCCGATTTGGCATCACAGACCACAGCAATGCAGGACAGAGCTGTGGACAGGAGGGTTGGCTTTACATCATCCCTGTGGAGCAATTAACTGTCAAAGAATTTGTTTCTACATTTCCCATAAAGAGTTTTGGTAATTTTTCCCATCACTCTTGGCATTTGTCTTTGGCTGAAGTGGTGTGGTGCTGCAGGAGAGGCTGATGCTTGGGTTCCTTGTTCTCTTGTTCCTGTTTGCTTTTAGAGGCACTGCTCTCAGCGTGCACAGCAGTGTCACAGCTTGAGGATACAGTGGGGACATCCCTGAAGAGGACAAGGCTAACCCCAAGGCAGCTGCTGAGAATATCTGCTGAATACCAGTGCAAAGCTAGGCAGGTTTGGCACAAGTTTAGGGCTTTTCCTTTGGAAGAAATTGGGATTAYGTGCAGTTTTGTCCCTGGCACCCGGATAACACAGCAGGGAATAAATGAGAAATGTGCAGGAGCTGAGCCCTGTGTTTAAACCATCCTCTGCCCATGTGGGGATGCTGAAACATATCCAGGCATGTGTGGGCTGTGCCAAGGGCCAGCATTAAAAGGYGTTGGTGTTTGGGGACATGGGGAAAGGGACTCTTCTTTCCTGCTTATTGTATTTCATAGTTCAGACTGCAGGTGGCTTCCTTCTTTTTAGCTGGCTGAAATTAGGGTGTTTCTCTGAACTATGGAGCCAGCTTCCCATCAGGACACTGTGCTCTGCACRGATCGTTCATTTCATATGCAATGATTTCAGATGTCATTTTCTGTTAGTGGCTGATGGAAGGGGACTCGGTGTGGCACAGTGGATGTTGAACAGAGGGCTGTTTTCCAAGGAGGTGAGTCTGTAGCCACGATGCTCTGACTCTGGGGAAGTTGGGCACTAGTCCTGGCCTCGCTCCATTTTAGGGCTCAGCACAGAGCAGTGGTTATCTGGGCAGTATTTTCACATTTCCCTGCTTGATTCTGATATGGAATCCCTGTCCCTGTGTGCTGCCTCACTTCTCTGCCTGGGGAAAAAAGCCCTTGCAGGTCCCTCTCTGCATGACAGACAGTGCTGAAATAGCTTGTGAAGGCTGCTGTTTCCATGCTGGGAAGTGGAGGAGCTGTGGCAACCCATTAATGAGGACAGGYGTTATGGCTYYTGTTTGYTTTTATTGTTTAAATGGAACTTTTRTTGTAGCTTCCCARAGSTGAAGGGCCAATAATAAGATGTGCCATCCCCTGACCTGAAAGAACTGTGTTACCTGGGCACCTGTTAATACTTGCATCATTTCATGCTCCTCGCCTACAGTTCTCTCTGCTCCCAGGTCAGGAAAGRGACCTTATCTGATTGCTTTTTCTGTCTTTTAAGGTTTGGAATTCAGGCCTCACTCAAGCCCCTGAGTCTCTGTCACAGCGAGGCAGGGCAGGAATGGGTGTCTGAGCCCCGAGGAACCCAGCCAGGGTGTCCCCTGTGCTTTGGGTGCCTCGGGGGTGCACTGAGCTGGGGCTGCTGTGGCATGGCTTGGTGCTCTCATCTGGTCCTTGGCAGAAGGAGCACAGCTTGGCTCTGTGCTGCAGAGGGCCAGGGGGGCTCAGAGGAGCTGACAGCGTGGGTGTTTCTTCTCTGGGGCAAAGGGGTCATGGCTTTGAGGAGCTGGGTGAGGTAAGTGAGCTGCAAATTCAGCAGGGGCAGGGGCAGAGCGCAGGGGCAGAGGTGCTGCTGCCCTGGTGAAAGTAAAGCAGGTGCTGGAGGCGTGAGCCTCSTGTTATTCCCTTCTCTTTGTGTCTCTTGGCTGGGCTGGTGCCCGCAGGAACATTTATGGAGGAGGACAAAGCACGAGAAAATGCTTGATCTGTTCTCAAAGGTCTCACAGGGACACGCAGCACTCGGTGTTTCCGCAGCACGGCAGCGTTTCCGAATTGCACACATTAGAGGAACAGCCCCGGCATTCCAGATGCTCATCCAGCACKATCTTGCCTGGAGGACAAACGCTTCCCCGGGAGGCGGTGTCCGCAGCATCCTTACGCCACACGGGGATTTCACGGTGCCTGGAGAGCCGATCCTGTTCGCAGCGCCCCATCCCGACTCTGCCAGCGCTCTGGGTGCCCGCACCGGGGCTCGGCTCCGCTCCAGCTGTGGCCAGACATTATTTTTAGCTGCATTCTGTGGCCAGGACGGGAGCTGCTCGTGTGCTTTGTGGAGATGCTGACAGCACGGGCATCCCTCTCTCTCTCCGTGCTGCAGGCTTTGCTGAGGCAGCGTGTGAGGAATTGGAAATGATCCCGGCTAGGAGGCYGCCGTGCCTTGTGCCTGTGGGAAGGATGGGCAATTAGAGCTGCAGGTCTTGTGGTCACCTTGTGAAAAATCCTTAAGAAAGTTACTTTGAGATCCGCTCAAATTCAGTAGGTGTGTCTGAATGAAAAGTCTCCCGCTCAGTGTGGAAGATGCTGCCTGCGTGCAGCAGCTTAACTCTTTACGCCAGCAATGACAGCATGAAAGGTTTGCAGTGGCCATCAGGATTTTGATGCCTTGGCACCGCTGTGGGATGCCCTTGTTGCTCTCAGAAGAGGGGGGGCCAAGGAGAGTGGGTACCTCTGCCCTGTGTTTTCACTTTGTTCTTTGTTTCTAGCAGGTATGGATGGGAAGAAATGCAGCGTGTGGATGTTTTTACCTCTTGTCTTTACCCTGTTTACATCAGCTGGATTATGGATAGTGTAAGTCATCTCCTGCTGGTTATTTGGGAGGCTGCTTCTCATTAAGGGAAGTGTTTTGGGGGTGCTCTGCCCTTGAGCTGCTGTGGGGAAAGCACATGACAGGGACAGGGGCCACTCTGCCAGTTCATGGCTTGAAGGATCACATTTTTATCCCTGAGTTTCTGTGCTCCCTGGGCCAAGTTGCTGACSTTGCCTTCTTCCTGGTACACATTACTGGGAGCTGTCTGAAAAGAGACAGCCAAAAATATAAAAATTTCCTTTAATCACATTTTCTTTGAATGACTCAGCAGAGCTCTTGGAGAAGCACTTAGACCCTGCTTTGGGGTGGAAATACAAAATCTGCAGCATCCAGCACCGCACTGAAAACCTGCCAGCAGCTTAATGCTGACACCTCACTTTCTCCCTAATGCTTCTAACCAAAATTCACACAAGACATGCTGCTCCCTGAGCTGGGCTCTCTCCAAGCGTGCAGGCAGATGACTGCAGCATGAATTTGGGAGTGATAAATGTGTGATCAGCAGCTCTACTCGGGCTGAGAAGCAGTTACTTTGTCGGATGTGGCCTTGGCCATGGTTATGGAYACTGCTTTTCAGCAGCGGGGGCAGCTTAAGCCTTTCGTCTGACTTCCATTGCTTGCTGTTTTTCTTGTCCCATCCCCTCTCTATTAAAATAGCTTTTGTGGATGGAGTGCCCTAGTAAACCTGAGGAATCCAAATGATTCTAACTAAAAATGAAAGCATTGCCCTGGCTGGTTATTTTTAAGGCAGCTCAGTTCAGTGACCCTGTTTGTCTACTCAACTGTGCAAACCAGATGCARCACAAAGGGAGGCACATGGGCTGAGAAACAAGCAAAACTGCCTGCTTGAGCAGAGAGAAACACAGGCTCCTCCAGCYGATCCTGCCAGGGGACTGTGAGACACTTAATGTGTTGTTTGAGTGATATTTGGAATGGAAGCTAGGATGAGGTTTTATACTGTTTCCTTTTTTCTCCCGCTTTTTTTTTTTGACAGGTACTTTATAGCAGTGGAAGATAACAAAATTCTCCCACTAAGTGTACCGGATAGGTAAGAGCTGCTTGTGGGCTTTGCATTCAATCACTTGTTTCTTTAAAGTAATAAAACAATTAAAAAAAAAAAAAAGTGGGAAAGCAAACCTTGAATCTTTATTCCTGTGCCTGTGTCTCTTAGGAAACCTGGTTCCAAAAGACCGCCTTATATAAGGTAAATGAATTATTTTCTTCCAAGTACTGCTCTGATTAATAGTTACTATTTATGTGTCTTTGCCGTCCTGGAGTTACAATGATACGCTTTATATTTTCAAGTATTGCAGGTGATGCACCTCCTGCAAGCTGTGTGTTTAGTCAAGTCATGAACATGGCAGCATTTCTAGGTAGGAACCAYAACTGGAGTTTATTTCTTTCTGTTTGTTTTAAGAGTCACTCAAACATAAGTAATATCGTGTGTATATTCTTCTGGAATGTGATGATGTGAAATCTTTTGAACTGTACATGTCATTGCTTCTTCTTCCCATTGCAAAGAAAGAAATGTAAAWAGGGGAAATACAACCTCCAGACTGCAAATGGGTCATGGGAGGTTTGATGGCAGGTGACTGTCTTGGCCTTGGTGATCGTGAAATGGTTGACTTCAGAACTTTTGCTGTAATGAGAAAAAAGGAGTTTAGGGGATCCAAGCAGAAGTGATCCCCTACATTTCAAGAAAGCAAACCTTATGCTCTGTCAGGAAGTACCTCACAGGTACCTTGGGTGTCTGCTTTTGGGGGCTTAGGAGTCCGTGAGTGCTGGTCAGTCTTTAAGAAACGTCTTTTAAAAGCACAGGAGCAGGCAATCCCAGTGTATGGGATTGTGCTCAAAGAGTGGGGCAGAAGACCAGCCTGGCTGAAGAGGAAAAAGCCATTATATGGTCTCTGGAAGGGAGACCAGGCTTGGCAGGGAGATTGCAGAGCTGTGGTTTGTATATGCAGGAGAAGGACAGGAAAGGCCAAAGCTCAATTAGATTTGAAACTGGCCAGAGCTTTTTCAGACAACAAAAAGAGTGTTTTTGARTATGTCAGTGGCAAAAGGTGGCTTAAAGAAAATACTGGACAGATCCTTAAAGACTGTAACCTCACTAGTAGGGATGAAGAGGAAGCTGAGGCATTCGATGCTTTTTCTGCCTCAATCTTTAACAAAATGATGACAGACCTTGGGCTGCCCAGACCTCAGAGCCAAAGGGCTACAAGTGAGGCTGCAGTGACTTTCCATTTGTGGGCACTGGAATTKTCAGGGACCAGCTGTATCAGCTGAGTGCTCTTGGTCCTGATGGGATTCATCCCAGAGTACTGAAGCAGGTAGTGGATGCTAGGGCAGGACCCCTCTCTATCATCTGCCAAATGTCTTGGGACTCTGGGGAGGTCCCTGCTGACTGGAAGCCAGCCAGTGTTATTCCAGTCTACAAGAATTGTAAAGTAAGACCCAGAGAGTTACAAACCTCTTGGTCTAACCATAGTTCCAGGAAAAATKATGGACAACGTGGTATGTACATATTTAAAGAAYAAYRCAGTTTTTCATTTTYATTCATTGAGYRTGGGTTCACAAAGGGAAAGTCCTGTTTAACAAATTCAGTATCCTTCCATGATAAGGCCATGCACTTGGTGGATGAAGGAAAGGTGTTGGATGTAGTTTTTCTGGATTTTAGTAAGACTTTAGACACTGTCCCTCAAGGCATCCCTCTGGAGAAGTTGTCCGCCTGTGGGATCAGCAGATTCACAGTGCACTGGGCAAAGAACTGGCTAAAGAGCAGACTTAGAGAGCTGTAGGGAAGCTACACCTGGCTGGCATCCAGCTGCCAGTGACCCTCACTTCTAGGGCCAGTTCTGTTAAATGTTTTTATCAGCAATCTGCATGAAGGGTGTGAAGGCACCATTAACAAGTTTGCTGGTGATCCCAAACTGGGAGGTGCTGTTGGCTCTCCTGGGGGACCAGATGCCTTCCTGAGGGATCTAGATAGCTRGAACATTGGGCAGGGATCAATGGGATGAAATTTAACAGGTCTAAATGCTGTGTCCTGCATCTGCAATGGAGTAACACTGGAAGTATAAATGGGGAGAGGATGTGGAAAGGGAGGTGTGGATCTCTTCTTCCTCAGATCCAGTGAAAGGACATGTGTAATGATTCAAAGCTGCTCCAGGAGGAGTTTAATCTGAACATTAGGAAGCATTTCTTTACTGAGAGAGTGGTCAAACACTGGAATGAGATTCCTGGTGAGAGGGTTGGTGCCCCACGCCTATCRCTGTTTAAGAAGCATCCAGACACTGTCCTTAATAACACTGCTTTGACTTTAGGTCAGCTCTGAATTGGTCAGGAAGCTGAATTTGATGACTCTCRTAGGTCCTTTCCAACAGAAATAACCTGTTCTGTTCTAATCTGCTTTGTGGATAAAGTCAAACTTCCCTCTGCTGTATCTGTGTACTTCTGAGAGCTGCTTTTAGCTTTTATCTCTCTCCATCTTAGTTGTGTCAAAGCTAGAGGAGAAGAAAGCTACAGAAACATGCTAGAAACAGGAATAACTGAAATAAAAAATACTGTTGTTTTGCATGGAATACTTTTAATTCTCTTTTGTCATTCCCATCAAGTTTTAGAACAAGATCACAGAATTTCAGGATTATGTCCTGTAGAAATAGAAATTAAAAGTTCCTGCACATAAGCTAAAGTATTCATGGGATGGCTGCCACAAACAATTACCTGGGGAGGAAAAACAAAAATCCTTTTTGGGGGAACCAAATTCTCTTGTTTTAAGGATTTGGAGCAGATTGATTCACTGGAACAATTGTGAGCAAGTTAATTCAAATGTCTTTTGCAGTTTGGGTAATAGTGGGTATTTTTCACTTACAATGCCCTTATTTCCCTAAACCATGTTTTTGATATTTTGCATGGGGGTTTTTTTGTGGAAAATACAGATCTAATTTGCTAAGGCAAACTATTTACAACAATATGACCTGCATGCTATCATGAGCATATAATTTGAGCATGAGCCTATGAAGGTGTTTGACAGCAAGCAAATTTCCCTGTTCAACTAAATTGCTTTTTAGTGGTCTGGTTTGAATCCCATCTGAAGGTCCACGGTTTGTCTGGCTTTCTGTATTGTTCCATGCAGCATTCCCTAGGGAGGGCAAGAATACACAATTTGAGTATCTTCTGGTGTTATGCTGTATTATGTGATGCATGATACATTTTATCTATCATGTATCATTTACCATAGTGCTTGGGGTAATTGCAATCTTGCAAGGATTGTCGTTCCATTCTTCATGGAAAATTGGTGCAATATTTGGCTTATTTGTGGCAACAGCGCTTGTTCCAGTGAAGAAGAAGAGGCAGTAGGCATTATGGTGAACCTTGCAGAAATACATAGGTGTCATTCATATTCTTAATGTGTGTTTGACATAGCTCCTCCAGGAGAGCTCAGTGGAGTGAAACCATGCAGCCCAGGTGCTGCTAAGTGAATGCATCGTGTGTGTGTGTGTGTGTGTGTGTGTGTGTGTGTGTGTGTGTGTGTAAGCTTCACAGGCAAGCAGGAAGGTGTTCTTTCCCCCCAGACAATTGTCAGACAAAGCATAGAGAGAAAAGGAAGCCAGGAGCTTGGTGCCATTGGATCGCAAGAGAAATGCTTCCTGTGCTTTGGCTGGTCCCTGAGTAAGTGGGAGGGGGCCGTGCAGAAGCACAGAGYTTGCTGGCCTTGCAAAGAGGAGGAGGGGGCTGTGAGCACCAGGCAGGTGTTTGCTGCAGCAGGTTCTACCCTATACTGACCCCCCTCACCTTGTGTTTCCTTCGCAGCGCTCGTCGTGGCCGTCCTGCGCTTCATTCAGCTGAAGCCAAAGGTGCTCACCCCGTGGCTGAACATCAGCGGCTTGGTGGCCTTGTGCTTGGCCTCTTTTGGGATGACCCTCCTCGGCAACTTCCAGGTACTGCCCTGCAGGCTGGGACTGCTCTGCCTGTGCTGTGASCTCCCTGCTTTTCCAGCGGATCTGCTCGGGTCCTTGAAGCACCTGGGATGTGAGCCTAGGAAAAGCTTGTGCCCCAGCCCTCCCTGTACCTGCTGTGCCACCTCTGTCTGTCCCTTGTGTGCTGAGATGAAGGGCCACAATCATTTTTCACGTATTTCCAGCAGGGTTTGCGCCTTCATGCTTAGACCTGTCCTGCTGAGTGCCACAGCAGGACCCCCTGAATCTCTTGAGCCTGGCAGCTGGCACAGATGGCCCCTGGTAAAAGGGTCGAGCGGGAAGTTTGCGGGCACATCTGTGCAAACAGATGCACAACTGCCCATGTAGATTTAGCAGAYAGCTCAATGTCCTTCTTTTAAAACATGTGTTGCTTTAAACCCGCCTCCTGCTGATCCTCAGACCTGCCAGGAGAGTGACACAGCAGAGGAGCRCCAGGACTCCTCCAGATGTGATGGGTGTCTGGATGAGGGCCTTCCTATTCTCCCTGTGCTGCAGTGMTATACAGATATCTGCCACATCTGCAGGGATGGCTGTCCCCTGTGATCATGAGTGTGTCTGTCAGGGCTGCAGTGACAATCAAGGTGTTGGAGWCAGTGGTTTGACTCTGAGCCTCTGCCTCTCACTGGGCTGCAAGTAACAACCCCAATAATGGCAGGAACTGAGAAAGGTCAGTGCARGCTGGCTGCTTGCTTGGCTTTGCAYGACAGGGAGCTAATGCAGAAATGGTACTTGTTTGTGAAGGGAGAGGACCTCTATGGATTGTATAGTTATTGAAGGAGCTTGGTGTCCTTTACAGTTAACTTTTTTTTTCCTATTTGAAAGAGGTGTGAGATAATTTGACTTGTATGGACCTGGTCTTCCTAACTCCACAGCACAAACCCAAAACCCGGAGCTCTTGCTTTTCCACAAAAGTCTCCCAGCTAAGAACTATGAAGCCTTTGTCTACCTACAGATTTGTCTACCTCTGAGAAGCGTGTTTCTAGWGCAGGGCAGGCACTAAGCTCTCCTTCCTTTTTTCACTCTTCAGAGCAAATGCTTGTAATTTAACAGRAGATACTTTGAATCATGTCTGGCTATAAGTTTTGATTACTTTCTGACATCTGCTTCTAATTATCCATGACCTGTTAGTTACCTGTATTCTTTCCAAGATCTTTTGCCAAACATGAAAGAGTATGGTAATGAGACCTCAGTCTGTGCATGTCCCTGCCTGACTGCTGAGCCAAATGTGGCCTTAAATCACATTTCTGGAAAACTGTACATTGAGTGTTTTAGAGGGACATTGTAGCTCTGAGTCCCTTGCAGTGGAGGGTACCTTGGGAAGGGCAGCTTAATCCCATTTTTGCCTGTATTATGATTTACACCTACTCTTGAAAAAACTCAGGGTTGTGGGGGGAGATATCTGTGGAGGTGCAGCAACTGGATTGTTGTCCCGTAGACTGTGTCTTATTTGATGGGAATTTGTTAAATCATCAAACAAGAATCAAGGCTGCAGGGAGAAGTTACAGCCTGGTGGTTTCTTTTCTAGAAAAGCCTCAGGRGCAGATGGAAAAGGGAAGTTGTTTGGCTTAAGAACATGCTGGACTTTTTGATTGGCTTTGCAGCCTCAAGGGGTCTCTTTGCAGATTGTTGCTAGCTGAACCTGGCTGTCATTTTGCCTTGCAGTGTGGCAGTCACTGAGCCCTGGGAGACAGGACTGCCCAAGGAACAGGGAAGCACTGGCACTCCAGACAGGTTGGGTTTGTGTTGCCTCAGACCCCAATGGTCGAGGATGGGCAGAAGAGGAAACTTGTGGGGAGAAACTTGCCAAACCAGGAGCTTGTGTTGGATTATGCTATCTCAAGCGGGTGTCAGGGCTCTGGCTGCCCCCTCCCCAGGCAGCAGCKCTCCTGCAGCTGGCACTGAAGGTGCACAATTTGCAGCCATTGCAGGGACACCCAGTGCAGTACCCAGTGGGTTGTCCTTGCCTGCCCTGGCCATCACTTCGAGCCAGGGAAGCATTTATTTCTGAGCTCTGCATTTGTGAGTTGTGTCAGGGAGCTGTGGGGACAGTCCCCAAGCAATTCTCCACAGTGCTCTTGGGCTTTGGGCAGAAGATGTGCTTGACTGTGACAGCTGTCAACTCATCTTGGTTATGTTACATTTTACACCTCTGCTAGAAGAAATGATGCAGCATCTCTGTCTCACACCCCAGTGATTCCCACTCTCTGCTATCCCACCTCAACAGCACTCCAGTTAGCTATCAGGTAATTCTTGCTGTGTCCAGGCAATCACTGTTTTGATTGTTCCTAGCTTTCCAACGATGAAGAGATCCACAACGTGGGCACATCGCTGACCTTYGGCTTCGGGACATTGGCGTGCTGGATCCAGTCTGCCCTTACCCTCAAGATCAACCTGAAGAACGAGGGGCGGAAAGCYGGGATTCCACGAGTGGCTCTCTCAGCCAGCATCACCCTCTGCGTGGTGCTCTGTATCCTTTTGTCTTGCTCCCTGGGAAGCCAGGTGTCCTGGGTGCTCTGCAGCAGGGAATGTCAGCTCTTCTCACACCCGTCCTAGGATCTCAAAGCCTTTAGGAATGCTGCTCRCTTTGTCTTCATGGCATAATCCTAACTCAGTGCCATACTGTGTAGAGTGCTGCTTCCAGATTTCACAGAAAGGGATTTTGCAGGAGATCTGAATAGAAGGAAAGCTTTCACAGTGTAGGTTGAAAGATGTTCCCATTGCCTGTGGTGCAGTAATCCCATCCTGTTCCTACTGGGAAGCTCCTAGAGCAGGTAGGGGCCCACAGCCAGATCCCCACTTGCTGGCTCTGTCCCTGGCTAGCTGGATGCTCAAGCAAATCACTGACTTCTCTGCACCCGAGTCTTTTCCTCTGTAAATGTTTATCACCCTGACCTGGGAATCAGGAAGCCCTGGTCCGTGTAGGAGAACTGCTGTGCTCCATAGGCATCATTGGACATCTGACATTCCTTTTACCTCTGGCATCACACTCACTCTTCTCATGATGGCTGAATGGGTTGACTTATCCAGGTGACTTTGTTCAGATTTTCTTCCCTGTTTGCTTTTAAACTGGTTGGTGCCTCTGCTCCCACTTGTTTTCCTTGACTTTCCTCTTCCAGATTTCATCCTTATGGCCCAGGGCATTCACATGCATGCTTCCAGAATCCAGTGGGGCCTGGTGATGTGCTTCCTGTGCTACTTTGGCACCTTTGCAGTGGAGTTCAGGCATTACAGATTTGAGATTATTTGTTCTGAGTACCAGGAAAACTTCCTGAGCTTTTCTGAAAGCTTATCAGAAGCCTCCGAGTACCAGACAGATCAGGTGTAGCCTGTCTTCTGGCAGGGGGGGAGGGGGGCAGGTGTGGTCTCATGGGTGAAAATGACCTCATTTACACTTTTATTAGGAGTTTGTTTTCATGTGCAATCATGATGRCATTGCCAAAGGGCTCTGAGGGTGGCTGTCTCACCGAGAGCCAAACAAACAGAGGTGTCTGCTGGAAAAGGAGTGGATCCATCTCAGCGGCAGCGTGAGAGTGCACAAACTGTTTCATTGTGACTCTTTCCGAGTGGCTCTGTCACACTCCTGTTCAAAACATTGAGCAGCCTGTCTTTGTGACTCCCCTCTGGGATAAGTCCTGCTCAGCCCACCCTGCAGAGAAGGAGGTGAAGGAAGYAGATTCCTCCAGCACTAAGAGTCTTCAGGAGTCACGCCTCCCGAGCTGCCAGACTGCATCTTCCGTGTGTTTCTCGGGTTCTTTTCTTGGCTGCCAACCAGGGGAACTTGGTAGGGTGAGCAAGAGCAGCTGTTTCTTCAGAACCTGGAATCAGATGTGGAAGACCCCAACCTGTGGCTTTTATGGCAAGCAGGCAGGCATTTCTTCCAGCCTGGGAAGCAGCCGACGTAAATTTGGGTTTGGAGGGAACTGTTCTGTGATTGGGAAGTGAGACTTGGCTGATGCTGCCTTGTAGCCGGGCAGATCATCCCCAGGCCAGAGGGGATGACACGGTGGGTGCTGTTCTCAGCTTCATGGTGGGGACTGATGCGAGTGAGGTGCTGAATTAAGATGAGAATGTCTCTGTGCTCTGAAGGTGACCCAGAAAAGGCTGCTCTTTCCAAGTGTGTAGTGCTTCCACCACACATTGTGTATAGTATTTCAAAAGCTTTTTAAAAATTTTTTTATCTTCACTGAGGGGGAAAGCATTGTGTTAGAAATACCAGGTTTGTCTGCCACGAGAACAGTGCCAGTGGTTCTGGGCACAGGGTTTGGTTTTGCTCCTTGTGCAAGCCATGCTGGGCTGGGCTCTCAGTGTGGCCAGCTGTTCTGAGTGGAGTGTGCCCCAGGTTTAAATGGGCTTCCAAGGTGCCARGAGAGCGTTCTGCCCCAGAGGCTGGGTGATCTGCCTGAAGGCTGGAGGTGCAGGAAGGGAACAGCAGAACMAGCAGGGTTTCTCCCTCCCTAAAGGGAGGTTTTCAAACAAGGAAGGTTTTCAGAGAAGCAGGAGCTCAAAGCCCATTTGAAAGCSTGATTTTGGGAAGGGTTCTGTATTGGCTGGGCAGGGGAGTGATGTGAGTTACTTCTCATGAACATGGCCACTATTTTCCTCCACAAATCAGGCTCAGCTTAGGTTTACATCTTGTCTAAGCTGCAGGAAAACAGGCAGAAATTAAAATGGTAGGAAAAGGCACTTGATGGGGAACTTGTACTGCTCTGTGGCATTTCTGACAGAGAAAAGCCAAAAGGGCATTCAGTCTTCTGCAAAGGTCACAGGCCTCTCCTGAAAGGAGAAACAGTTGAGGCAAACTGTGTATAAAGCAGAAAGCTTTCAGTCAGCCCTTTATTTTCTGTGCACCAAAACTTGTTCTCAGGCAGCTATTACAAATCTGGAGCATTTTTGGCCAACAGAGGGTTGTTGTGCATTGCTGAAGGATTCTTCCTTAGTGGAAAGCTTTGCTGGAAGGATGTGCTGAGGGTGGCCAAGAACACAGCAGTGTCAGGTGCTAGCTCCCCAGAAGCTCATCCAAGGAGCTCCTCCTGGGCAAAGACAGGAGGGCACAGCCTGGAGAACATGAGGTGGGGATGCTCTTGCACTAGCATACACTTAATCCATACGGAGCACAAAATAGCAATTTGTTGTAAGGGTGTTTTACTGTAAATAGTCCACTGTGACTACTTTTCCCTAATTAATTAATACTTTCAGTTTATTATTTTAGATTTTGTAATTTTATCAAAGGAAAAAAAGAAAAGATTGTGGTTTTTTTTTCCTTTTGCTCCTTTTCCTATATGCAATCGCAACTGAACTTCAGGTTTTTAGYGATAACTCTGTACATTCTTAGAGTATTTCTAACAGCACATTTCAGTATAACTAAATGACAACTGATACACACTGAAACATGACCACTAAATAAAGTGCTTTTATGGAGAAAGTGAGCTTTATTTTTGTCCCTACCCCAAGCATAGCTTTCTGATGGCAAAGGCAAAACAAAAGGTGAGTATTTATTTACAGTGTAATGATTAACATTATCACTTCAGGAAGCCAGGGACCATTCAGCCATGCAGATACACTTATTGTAACAGCACTAATTCAGCAGGCTCTTTCGAGGAGCAGGATCACACTCACTGCACAGCTCAGAAAGGCATCTGGGCTAGCTGCCCCRCAGCCTGACCTGCTACTATTTAATTTTTAGAAGGGCTGTGCTGGCACGATGTGGTTTCTTCCCCAAGTGTTGGTCTCTTGTTCTTTACTCACCAGCCTCCCTCAGCAGGGACAGCTGTAGATGTAGAGGAGAGCTCAGGAAGGCAGCATGCACATACTGTGGCTGGCTGTGAGAGCAAGACACCCGTGCATGAAGTGCCAGCAGCAGGGACTGGGAAAGCGGAGATTTCGGACAGGACTGCATCCACTACTACCAGCTATAACCTACCTGTGGCTCTCACTCCTGCACTGAGCCACAACTGAAATCCTAAAATGGTCAGGGAGGTAGTACAGCTTCCTTGGCAGGACAAGGCTGCTGCCTTAAAGAAGGGACTGGGGAAGGTGAAAGCAGGAAAACAGTGTTGACAGGTTTARAAATAAAATAAAATCTGCCTTTTAGGTGCTGGGATCACTGGTGATAAGACAGGAAGGCTAARTGCTGTGATGGAGTGAACACAATGAAAGCAAAGTTGTGTTTTTATTTACTACATTAGGAAAAGCTCCATGACCATCTGATCTACATTGGCACAACTTAGTAAGGTGAAAAGGTCAGGGGGTTAATTCTCATCAAATGCAGCAGGATGTCTGCCCTCAGGAGCATTGTCAAAGTTTGCTCACAGCTGACCAGTGATATGARCATGTGGCTGGGTGATGTTGGCTGGAGGAGGAGCTCCACGGGTCAGTGCTGAAATACTTCAGAAACGCTGTCAAGCTGACTTTGGGGTTCAGCCAGTTGCATGCCAGCACCATGATGCAGCAGTGAAGTGCGTCCAGAATTTAATTTTTAAAGCTCTACTTATATATACTTGACTTCATTCTGGCTAGGCYGGCTGTGGAGCTCTAAGCAGCTTCCATATGCAAGTTGTACTGTTTGGTACMTAGAGCTGCTGCAGACAGAGCCAAGATATACATTGTTCCCTGCCTAAAGAGCTTGCCTGAAGCAAGGGCTGGCTTTTTCTGTGTCGGCCCAAACCTACTGTATTATAGCCCACAACAGGCATTTTCCTTTGGGAATCCTAACTGTGGATATTTTTGACTTAGCCAGCAATCCCATCTGCGAGGAGAAGCTCCCATATCCCCCCGTGGTCCCCAGCACTCTCTCTGGGACATGGGGACATAAACTTTGTTTGCAGACTGCTTCTAAAACGGATGGAAACTCATGGTGGGGCATCTCAGCACCAGATTTCAGTGGGTGAGTCTGAAAGAAGCGTTCCCTTAGCTACCTGCTAGCCAGGAAAGGGGAGGAACAGCAGAGCTCATGGGTGCTGCTCCTTGCCCTGTTCCCAGCTCCAGCTGGCAGCAGGCCTCTGTCCTACTGCACAAGGGACCCCACACCACACTCTCCATCCATCCATGAGGCCCAAGACATAATGTGGATTTGGTTTGAAATTCTGATTATGGACAAAATTACCTAACATTTCACAAGGACAATTAGGTGAAGCACAGTCTTTTGTGCGTGCACCACTTTCCTAAGTGGAGGAAGGCAGGAAAAGTTCGGTGAAAGAYGAGATGAGGCTGTAATAGGATTTCTCATCGTCCGTCAGTCCTGCGTTGCCTGGTCTGATCACCACAGCCACGTGAGTGTCCGCCTCCTCGGCCGCATTGGCTTCTGAAACAAACAGAGGTGGGGAGAGCCAACATGAGAGCTGCTTACTGACCACCACATCAGGGTCCTTCTGGCTTGAGCATGCCCCAAAACACTTTTAAAGGTTGAGGCTGAGAAAGCAGCATTTGCACGTGGCAGGGCTCCAGAGAGGAAGCAGCTCCTGGCAGAGCTGCTGTGGATGGCTGGAGCTGCAGGAATGGACAGGAGCTGGCTGCCTCGCCATCCCTCCCCTCTGCCAGCTGATGGCTGTCCAAGGCACCTTRCAGGCAGCACACACCATCAGCTCTATTCCCGCTTCATCAGCCTGATTCCTGTCCCAAGGCTGTGGTCAGGCTATGTCATTTATGAGTCAAACACACCCCTCCCCCAGTCCCTTCTCACAGGCTTCTTTTTGCTCTCTGAGCACAAAAGGCCATTGGAAGATGATCCAGGGGAAAGGAGGTAACTACAAGCTCCCATCAGCTCTGCTGCCAAGGCTGGGGAGGAGGTAAGGACTAACTCTGGGGGACTGAGCTGGCTTAGACTGAGACACGGTGCCATTTCTGCCAAAAAGATGTTTCCAGCAAAGCAGGAAATTAAATTAGCTTTTCAAACCTGGCTTTCCAGGGGTCAATTCTTGGCAACCTGAAGCAATGTTTTCCTGTTGCTGAACACAGCCTAACTGTGAGTGGCACAAAGAACCAGCCACGTAGCAACACAGCAAACACCATCATTTCCCCTGAGCAGAGCCAAACCACTGACCCTGTTTGTAAATGGGGCGTGCTTCAGCTCTGCTTCAGCAGTCTCTCCTTCCTAGCTGGTGCAAAGGCAGGTTTTCTACTTGACCTATTTTCCCTCATTGCAGCGCTGCACAYGGGCATCCCACGGCTGTGCAAGCCCGGGTGTGTAAGGGAGGAGGATGGCAGCAGCCATAGGGAACCTGCTGAAGCATTTCTGGGCTGCTTGTGAGAAGCCAGCAGCACCTGAAGAGCACCTGCTGCCCCTGCACAGGTGAGAGCCAAYAGGACTGGCAGGTCACATACCTCGAGGAACATCGGTCAGGAAGAGGATGTTGTTGGTGGCGCACCCAATACTGGCAGCAATCCTCCTGTAGCTCTCACTTTCTACCTTGGGGCCTATTTTGGTATCAAAGTGGCCATCAAAGAGCTGAAACAGAGAGAGAAGCACAGGCCATTGCTGAGTGCCACCTGAAGAGCAGGAATAAACCTCCCTCCCTTTCTGCTACAGTAAGGAGGGGTTGGCGTRGCCATGCTCTCACAGTCAACTGGTTGAGTTTAATTCCCATGGGTTAAACCCATTGTGCCACCTTCCTGTCCCAGAATTGATTCACAAAGTATTACAGCAAGGGTGGTTGTGGGAGGGGAGTGCTCTGCAGGGGGACAAGCTGTAAGGAAGGTGGTAAGGTTATCTACCTCTAGGATATCACCTTCTGTAGAGTATCCGAACAGAAGCTTCTGGGCTTCGACACTGCCTGAGGAGTAGATATAGACCTTCATCCCTGCTTCCCGCCACTTCCGGATGGCTGGAACCACATCCTCGAAGATTCTGCAGCAAAACAGGGCAGCAGCTAAGGGCAAACCCAGAGGCACCTGGAGGGATGTCATTAGCAAGGCACTGTGACAAATAGTTTTGTCCCCTTTGTTTTCAAGGGGACTTCATTTCCCATTTGCTCAGGTCTCCTGGAACCAGCGAGTTTATTTCAGCACAAGGTGATGCAGAGCTGGGCAAGGAGATTTTAAGAGATTTCACCCCTTGAATGCAGCCAACCAGGCAGCTTTTGCCACCACTTTTTGGGTCACTGTGAGAGAATTTAGCCCTGTTTTTAAAAACAAAACCAAGAGATATCTGTCTCAACTTGTTTTTGGGTTTTGTTACTTTCTCTGGTGTATGTTTACATTTTKCTGTGTGCTACTTTTCTTCTTCCTTGTTCTTCATTTGAYAAAACACTTTGTGAATTTATGGGATTGTTTCCTTACTTAGAGACCTGAAATGCATGGTTTAACCAAGCGTCTCTTGATCTAAATAAGTTTAGGCTTAATTCCATTTGTGCCTACTCAATCACTCCTCTATTGTRGCTGAAACATAAAGAGGAACCTGAWGACAAAAAGAAGTGGAAAAGCAGGAAACACACAAGTAAAAGACAAAGCAGGAGGAAACAACTGAAAGGGTCTGACCCTGCAACCCTGGCTTGTTTATATTTGTTTCAAAATATGAGTGCAATTTGGGGATAGAAATACAAGACGGAGAACTGTAAGAAGCTCATACTTGTGCCTTAGACTCTAGATRTACCAAGAAATCTCTCAAATATTGCCTTGCTCACTGAGCTGGTGATCCTGTTTGTATTTGTACATGGGGCTGTTCCCAGGAATAGCTTATGCATAGAAATGCTTATGCTCTGCTAATAAACATTTAGGAAAGATGCCCCCCATCCCTGCCGCCCCTGGAGGGGGCACACAACTACTCACACAATTACTCACTCTCCTTTGACGTGCCCGGTGGCATAGGCTGCCCTCCACATGTGGCCCTGCAGCTGCTTCAGTGCCGTGGTCTTCCTGTCCAGGGACATCTGCCAGTGCACGTTGTCTACAACAGCCTGGATGACCCTCTCCAGCTCCTCTTCCCCACTGCCACTCTCCAAAGGGATCGGCACGGCCCCRTCCAGGCTGGAGTCCTCCTGAGCCTGGAAAGCAGCTCTTTTAGTTACAGCAGGGTGTTCATAATGCCAAGGCTGTGGTTAGATCCCTGYATGGGCCATTYGCTAAAGAGTTGGGCTTGRTGATCTTTGTGGGAATATTGTGTGATTCTGTGCAATCATCCATGATGAAAAGAGGGAAGGAAAGGGGAGGAGCGGTTTCATCACCTGTAAGGCAGGGAAAGTGGTCTAACACCTGCATCCATGCACCCCTGTGCATGACACTGCTTGAGCTGCTCTTCACACCAGGGGTTACAATCTTGTTTGAATGCTTTCCTCAAAGGGAAATTGAGGCTTCAGTTGTGTTTA